AAGAGTTAGACAGTTAGTTAGTTAGACTGTCTAACTCTTCGACAGTCTGTGGTGCAACGGATGGTGGATGGATCGAGACATAATGTCCCAGATGTACTCAATTGGATTCAGGCCTGGGGGACAGACAGGCCAGTCCATGCTGACACATCCAGCCACATGAGGTCTAGCATTGTCCTGCATAAGGAGGAAGCCCGGGCCAACTGCATTAGCATATGGTCTCCCATGGGGTCTGAGGTACTCTAGTTTCTTGGACCCCATGGTATTACCTCTGGCGAGCATATGGAGCGCTGTGCGGCCCTCCAAAGAAATGCAACCCCACGCCGTTTCTAACCCACTGCCAAACCAGTCATGCTGAAGGATGTTGCAGGAAGCAGATTGTTCTCCCGGTCACATCTGTTACAGGTTGTACCTGCTTTCACCTGTAAAGATGAAATTGTTAGCACCCACTGGCTTATTTCTGGTTGATGGCTTATTTGCTAGTCCTGGTGTTCTCTGAGAATTTGTAAACATCCTGCCCAGTGCGGCTGTGAGCACAACCCCCATCTGTAGATGTTGGGCCCTCATATCATCCTTAATGGAGTCTTTTTCTAACCATTTGTTCAGACACATCATTTGTGGCCTCTTGGAGGTTCTTCTGCAGGGCTCTGGCAGTGCTTCTTCTGTTCTTCCTTGCACAAATGGCTCCTTACTATGGGGTTGTTGCCCTCCTATTGCCTCTTCTACGTCTCTTGGTGTACCGGCCCTTCTTTTTATATTGCCTCAAGTCTCTGACACAATGCTGACACACTTGGCAATCCTTCTTGCCACAGCTCGCATAGATGTGCCATTCTGGATGAGCTACACTATGTGTCCCTGTCACACTACCACTAGTGTGAAAGCACCAACAACATTCAACCAGAAAGCATAAGTGCTGAGAAGTAGTTAGTGGTGCCCACCTGCAGAACCACTCCTTTATTGAGTGTGTCTTGCTAATACCCATAATTTCCAACTGTTGTCTATTGCATTCCGCAACAGCATGTGAAATTGATTGCCAATCAGTATTAATCAAACCTGGGTGCTGGCCGTGAGACAGACACATCGCAGATGACAGTGCGCTGTGATCACTCTTAAATTAACTTAAAATCCTGAAACCTGCCGACGGAATNAGAAGAGTCCAATGTTTTCCTAGTTGTGTGTTTTGGGTAATTATCCTGCTAAAGACACGTGAACAAAGCTTTCTGACACCGGGCAGCACATTTCTCTCTAGAAATCCCTTGATAGTTTTTAGATTTCATTGTACCATGCATATATTACAGACACCCTGTTCCAGATAAAGCAAAGCAGCCCAGAGCATAACAAAGCCTTCTCCATGTTTCATAGTAGAGACAGTATTCTTTTGTGTTTTGGCAAAAAGTTCCATATTTGTCTCATCTGTCCATTAGACAGCTTTGTGGCTTGTCAGATTTAGTTTGGAAAATGAGTATTTTTTATTTTTTTTTTTTCAGCAGTGATGTCCTCCTTGGTCCTCTCCCATCAAGTCCACTTTAACAATAATAGATGGTGCTATCTGACAGGGATCTTTTTTGAGCTTTAAGTTCAACCTTAATCTCTTTTAAATATTTTTTTGGACTCTTTTCTCATCATTTGTATTATCTGTCTCTTTGATATTTTATCTATTTTGCTCATGTGGCCACATCCTGTGAGGTTGGATACAGTCCCATGGATCTTAAATGTCTGAATTATATGTACAACTGTAGTCACAGGAACATCAAGCTGCTTTAAGATAGTCTTACAGCTTTTACCTTTAATATGACAGTCTCTACTTTTCTTTTTGATGTCCTTGAACAACTCTTTCCTTTGCTTCCTCTGGTCCATGTAGAGTGCAATACACACCATGTACCACAAAGCTACCTGTAGCCCTATATTTAGATTACTAGATTGTAAAAACCCACCTATGATGCTAACTAGCGGACACACCTTGATTTAACATGTTGCTTGTGTCACATTATTTGCAGTCTCATCCATATTTTTGCCCAGGCCTTTTTTATTAGTTCATTTTTAAAATCATTCCTTTGAAGCCTGTTTGAAAAGCATATCTGACTATTATTTGATCATTTTCATACAATTTAGTTTATCATTAATTTTGTCAGATTCAAGTTATTTTTGTGGCTATTGTGGGTCTTTCTTTCATTAAATAAGGAGTACAAACAATTCTTTCCATGTGTGATTTAATTTTAGTCAATGAACACCCCTTATTAAATAGGAATGAATGAATATTTAAAGGATGCTGTTTCTGTTATGGAACAACAGCTGGAGAAAAGAGAATTGGTTTTTAAAAATATTGCGGTCACACTTTGATCTGATAGATTTTAATAATTCGATTGCAATCAGTTCCTTTTAGATTTCACTTAAAGACTAAAAATAACTGATGTTTGAGTCTGTAACATAACAAACTAAAGAAGTGTTTAAGTCAAATTAGTGTCGATTGAAGAGTTATGGATGGCTTTTTTAGTGATTGTTCCTCTAAGAAGTTTGAATGTGCAGATTAGAGAAAATAAACATAGTTAGTATCTTGTTTTGCTTAAAATAGTAGCCAGTTACTTCATCTCACTAGTTCTGCTTATCTTGTTTGATTTTTTTTCCTCTTGCATTGGTCTTACCTCAGAGAAGTCTCCTTTTTCTGCAGCTTGAATGGCGTTCTGTGCAATATAGTTGCGAAGCACCACCCGAGGATTGCTGCTGCTCATCACTCTGAGCCTTTCTTGTTTAACAAGGTGCTTGTCACTTGTGCAATCAGACTCTCGGGCTAAACGCCTCCTGTTGTACCAGGAGAAAATAAAAGGACAATTCAGTTCAGTTTTAGTAACATGATGCCAAAAGTGGAGGTACATATTCAACATGTAGCCATTATGATTAATTTCTTTCTTTTGCATGTATATGAAAATCTGGGCAGACATTAATAACCAATATTAATACTGCTGTTATAATAATAATAGATATTTCAGACAGGATAAATAGTTAATTTATTTGCTGCTGAAGTGAAGCGCTCCAGTCTAAACAGAGTGCAGATTTTGTGCTTTTAAAAAAAAAAAATGTGTCATTAATCTATTAAATATATATATATATATATATATATATATATATATATATATATATATATATATATATAGTGAGTATATATAGTGAGTATATATCGAGGTGTCAGTTTCTTGTTGATTTAATGAAGGGTTAACAGAACACTAAGGCAGGTATCCAAAAATCAAAAAATCAAACATGAAAACAAAGACAAACAAACCAGAAACCAAGGAGACATCTGGGGGAAACAATCACGAGGAGGATAACTCAGTGAGATGTTGGAGGAAGTTAGACGAGGAACCAGCACTGAGGAAGTGCATATTTATGGGAGACTGAAACAAAGACAGGACTAACAAGCAGATTGGCAGCAGGTGTGAACAGAACAGACAGGAACGAAGCTAGGGAAAAGGAGAACACAAGAGGGCAGCAGAGGGCAACAAATAAAAACCTCAAAACTGAAAAATAACCAGAGAGCAAAACAATATAAGAATAAAGTAAAACTGAATACTCAAAAGAAAACATAACACAACCAGAAAAATGTAAAAGAATTTAAATAAAAGTTTTTAACATATTTTTGATCTTCCTGCATATGAAATGATTGAATTCCTATAGTCGTTTTTTTTCCTCACCTGTACCTGCAGATCCAGCGGCTCCAGTCGTCCCGCTGTTTTTCTCTCAGCTCATCTTGATCCGTCTCAAGGAGCTCTTTTAGTCGGCCCATTAGCTCCAGCTGTTGGGCCACATCTGGCCTGTCTGCTACCATCCCAAACATGACTGGGTTGGTCTGGGCCATGGATAGAATCATCGCCAGTTCACTGCAAATTGATAACACAGCAATGATAAAATTGTTTTAATTGGAAAAAATATAAAGACGTAGAAGTCCTTAACACAGGTCTGTTTACGCATTACATTATGTCTTTCCAAAAAAGTTAAAAAGCAATCCACTGGACTTTATTTCTGAGTTTGAAGATGTTTCACTTCCCATCCTGGAAGCTTTTTCCAATTCAAAATGGGGAGTCGTTTGGACCCGTTCTTCCTGCTCAATTTGCATGTTTTCTAAGCTAAAAAAAGGATTTGTTTTGTTCCAGTCTATAAAGCATCATACTCAACACTAATTCTGACATTTTTAAATAAAAAAGCTTCCTGGATGGGAAGCGAAACATCTTCAAACTTGGAAACAAAGCCCAATGGATTGGTTTTTTTACTTTTATGGAATGACTATGACCTGGATGACTAAGAATCTTCACCAGCATACATGACATTATAACCAACAGCTCTGACCTGTCCAGGTAGGGACTTAACTACATGTTAAATCAAGAGGCAATTTTGGAGATGGTTTGAGCCGATCCAAATAACCAGTCATCTCTAAATGGTCATAGTGTTCTGCTAACTGGTGTTTTTTACAGTAACCTCTATTATAACTTTAACTTACATATTATCTTGGTAACACTGTCTCCCAAAATGCTGGCATTAGAGGAAACAAGAGATCAGATAATTGATTTAAAGAAATCAAACATAAAAAAACATTCAATGAGAGCATATGGTGGGGCTGGTGCACATTTTGATATGATTTTATGGCCTATGTATGAGTACAGCTAAATTCATCCACCATACACTTCTCACCGGTCATCCATTGTGGGCTGATTAGCCACCTTTAACTCCTCGATGGACGCACACTGTTCTACAATAAGGTCCACCATTGGCTGCACAGTAATCTTCCCATCATCTCCTTCCTCAGGCCATGGGACACGACTCAGCAGGCGAAAAGTGTTTGTTAAATCTGCCCCTGGATCCAAAAAATATATTTAAAAAAAACCTTCAAAAAAAATTAAATGTCAAGCATTTCCTTTTTTTTATTACCAGTGTTGTGCATGACCCGGCAAAGCTCCAATATAAGCTCTCTGTCCTCTGCTTCTTCTTTTCTCACAAGACCCAACTTTTTTCTCATGCCGGATAAGTAAAAAGCTTCATAAGTTGGCATGAAATCATCAAGAACCTCTCCGGCATCTGCAGCCTTCAGCTCAGGGCCCAACGCTTCAGCCAGGCGAGCCAGGTTCCATCGGCACACAGAGGGCTGGGCTTGGTACGAATAGCGCCTCCTTTTGTCTGAGGCGTTGCAGACAAAGTCTGGATCAAATCTGTCAAAGAGATGTCAGTGGATGTCCAATCTCAGTTAAAATCTCAGGATTTTCCACATTTAAGGACATTTCTTGTGGGTTTTTTTAGAAATGTATTGGAGGGAAGCAAGTTTATACTTTTTTTTTTTAATGAACCGTAACAACGTTAAAGTTTATGTGTATATGCACCACTTGTTTGGTTCCACCATTTGTTCTTCCCAGGGTTCAAATCTGCTAGTGCTGATAGAATAACTGATGGCTTAAAAAGTCAACTGTCCAAGTAGAAATTTCTTCCTCTAGTTAAATTATTGTTCAGAGATAACACAACTGATCAAAATTGCCTAATTTTAATAAAGGAATCAGTCAGGAGATGGCTAACCCTCCAAAAACTCACATTAATACTTCACTGCAAAAGTAATAATATAAGAAAATATGATAATTAGATTTGTGTTTAAAATAAGAAAAAAAGAAAAACCCTAATATTTTTTTTCAACTGCATAATATCCAATTATCTTATTCTAAGGTAAACAAATACTAATTGCACTTGCAGATTATTTGATTAAGTCGCTCAAATTAAGGACAAATAAACTTATTTTGAGGAATTTTCCTTATTTTAAGATCAGTTTCTGCAGCCTATTAGCGTGGCAAAATCAAGAAAGCGATCGCTTTACAGAAACTTTTCAGGGATGCAGATGTTAGACGCTGCAAACATTCATTCCTTGTACTGGTAGCATCATTTTCTGTCATTCAAACATCCAGGCATGGATTGAAATCTACTGCAGCCTTGTGGAAGAAAGTTTCACAGTCACATAAAATCAAACTTCTATTTTTGACCTCAATACTAACAAGACTGCAAAAAGTTTCCATCTGACCAAGTCTTATAACTTTTGAAGTCACCAAAAAGTCTTTTTGATCAGCTGCACTTCAAGAAGTCTCACCAAGTGCAATTGTCTTACTACACTGGCATATTATTGAGCTTGTTTTATGTATAATTATCTAAAAAGAAGAATATAATCTAATAGAATATGCTCTGGTTTTGTATATTCATCTAAAAACAAGATTAAAAAGACTCTTCTGTTAGATTTAAGACTTATTTAGATGGACTATTTTTGCTGTCAGATCATTATTAGACATTAGGGCTCCACACCTTTGCTTAAAGGTGTGAACAGTTGTGCATCCAGATTTTTACCTTTGATAATTTTGTTTTTTAGTTGAATTGTAAAGCATAAAAAAATACAATCAAAGTAAATGGTCTCTATCTTTATATTACGCAAATCAGGTATTACCTGTCCATGAAAGCAAAGGGGCCGTAGTCCAGAGTTAGTCCCAGGATGCTCATATTGTCTGTGTTGAGGACCCCATGGCAAAAGCCCACACATTGCCACAGGGCCACCAGCTTTGCCGTCCGCATCATCACCTGGCAGTGAACAAATCAGAGACAGTGCCATAAAGAAGACCCGACCTGGGAGGAAAATACTATGAGATCTCACCTCTTTGAAAAACAACAGATTCCTTTCCTTTCTGTCATGGTGAGCCTGCTGAATTTGTGGATAGAAACTTTCAATCACATAATCCAGCAGCTGGGCACGGATGTCGTGTCGGCCCGCGCTTGGACCCTCTAGGCCAGAGAATTCATCTCGGCCCTGGAAGATCTCAAAGGAGCCGAACCTGTTGGTTGAAAAATGAGAGAAGCAACATGTTAAAAGTTTCTGTTGAGCTAAAACTGCCGTCATGTCCACAGAGAAGTTACAAAACCTTATGAAAGTAGGAGCGAGACGCATGACCACTGAGCAGCGCTCCTCAATCCGTTGACCATTGTTTAAAGGATCTCTACTGACGTAAAGGTCAGAGGTGACAAGTGAGGCAGCTCGGGTGGTGGGGATCCCAAGGGCAGCCATGGCTTCACTGCAGAGGAACTCTCTGATGCTGGAGCGAAGCACCTTTCTGCCATCACCTTCTCTGGAGGGAGCAAAATAGACAAAGATATTAGCAGAGGTTGGTAGTAATTAGCTTTTTTACTCAGTTACATTTACTTAAAAAAAAAAAAAAAACATTTTCCAGAGTAAAGCCATACTTACTTTTATTTGAGTAAATTCTTGTTAAGTATTGCCACTCCTACTTGAGTAAAATCTCTGACAACTCTGTCCACTGTGAATAATTTGAACTATTCTAAAATCAATTAAACATACAGTAAATTGTAGATATCATCAGTGGAAGTTCGTTATGCTGTCCTAACATATATACAGTTCTTATTGCAAGGGTTGGTTTAGTTTTATGCTAAAAAATTAAAATAGTCAAAGTATTTCTTCTGCACAAATATTTTCGTATATATTCATGACCTTTATGTGTATTCTTTAGGCATTTGTGTCTTTAAAATGACAGAACTTGCACATAAAGTCTGTTTGCCAGCATGATTTATAAACATTAAATGTGATGTTACAGTTACTCAGTACTCAAGAAGCCTTTCTACCAATTTTTTTTTAGTTTTACTGGAGTAATTTCCTGGATGACTACAGACAGAATCATGAAGACTAAAAAATGAAGCAGAAGTCTATTAACTACTAATAGGCAGAGTATGTCACAACGGCAAACCTACCAAGATAAGTTCATCTATATAAGCTGTGCAAAC